CTTGATGCGCATTCACTCCATGATGTAGTCGTATTTCATGATCGCTTTTGTGATCCAATTTTGACCATGTACGAGTCCGAATTTGGAATTGTGACGTTAGACGGGAATTGTAGACCACTGAAATAGCTTTCTAATGCCACCGGAACCAGTCGATTTGGAGTCGGGATGAGAGAGTTATGCTCGACTTCGTGGACACTACCAAAGATGTTGAGGGATTCTCTCTTCTAATTTGATTTTATTTTCTTAATTGCAACTCTTTTCTTACCCTTTGATTTAATTGCTTCATGGACACCTAATTTTCCATTTGTACCTAAAAGATACCAAATCCACCAATAAAAACAGAAATATAAATTAATCCAAACAAAAATCCACGAAAACGTAAATGTCGAGTATTATTGCTACACTCCATTGTATCTTTTTTATCTAGTGTTTCTGCTGTTGTCTGTTGATGCATATTAAAGTCATAGTATTGTAGTTCGTGTTGTTAAGAATGTCGTTGCGGATGCACTTTTGCGCATGTTCTTGTACGTGTACGTGCCTGTGCATGTCCATTTGAGGGAGCGTGTTTGTGCTATGTTTGCTGATTTGTATTAAAGTCCTAGGACTGTAGTTTGTGTTTTCATGATCCTTTTTGCGTATGCACTTTTGCGTGAGTTACTTTTGTGCATGCTTTTGAACTTTTACTCTATGTGCGTATCTTTTCTAGCGAGTGTTTTTGTGCACGTTTCTTGATGCGCATTCACGTCCTTGAATTGTAGTACGTATTTTCGTGATCGCTTTTGTTATCCAATTTTGACCTATGTTCGAGTCCGAATTTGGAATTTTGACGTTAGACGGGAATTGTAGCCCACAGAAACAGCTTTTTAATGCCACCGGAACCAGTCGATTTGGAGTCGGGATGAGAGAGTTATGCTCGACTTCGTGGACACTACCAAAGATGTTGAGGGATTCTCTCTTCTAATTGGATTTTATTTTGTTAATTGCAACTCTTTTCTTACCCTTTGATCATTTTTCCTTCTGGACACCTAATTTTCGATTTGTACCTAAGAGATACCAAATCCACC